AATGCCTATAAATAGAGAATCCCTACGTCATATTCATTCAATTGAATCCATCCAGATTCTTAGTTATATATAGCATTTACAAAATATTTTAGGAGCTTTTAAGAGAGTGTTCAAACGCCATTTTGAGTTAGCTTTTCTTGGGGATTGAAGTGTTACTTTCGTAAGAAGTCAATCGCTGTATCTTGGGAGACGTTTGTCCAACAAATTCTTGAGCACCTATGAGGAGGCAATTTCATCTTAAGGAGATAGAATCCCGTTCTAGACATGATCATTTGTAAAGTTTATCTTACTTTTCTACAAATTCGAATCTATTTTGTATTTTATTTTCGAAATTCTATAAATATAGCAACTATCACTACATATTTTCCAACAATCTTAAGACGAAACTTTTTGTTTATTCCTTTTGCTTAGTCATAATTGTTGTATTTATTAGTTAGATTTCTTTAAAAGTTATTATTTTACTCTATATTAATTTGTGGAATTTCCTATCTGTGAAGGAAAATGATTGGTGTTACTAAAGATGATGACACTAGTAACGATAAGGGAAAAGGTGTGGCTCATGCTCTACCTGTGGTGATCCCTGCTTCCTCATCTCATGAAGAGAAACCTGAAATGTTCAATGGAACTGATTTAAGAGGTGGCAATAAAAGATGTTGTTCTATTTGACCACTCTTAATTTGGCCCATATTATGAAAGTAGAACCTTCGATACCTAGCATTACAACCAAATTTGTGGCTGCTGCTGATGCTTGACACCAATTAGATTTCTTGTGCAAGAATTATATTCTGAATGACTTAAGTGATGCACTATACAATATGTATAGTTCATTTAAGACTGCTAAGGCCCTGTAGGAGTCATTAGACAAGAAATATCATACTGAAGACGCTGGAATGAAGAAATTCATTGTCGGTCATTTTCTTGGCTACAAGATGGTGGATTCCAAAACATTCATCAGTCAAGTCCAAGAACTCCAACTTATTTTGCATGAGATTCATGCAGAAAAGATAGAGTTCTCATGCAGAAAAGATGGAGTTCAGTTAACCATTCCACGTGGCTGCTATAATTGAAAAGTTACCACATTCTTAGAAAGATTTCAAGAATTATCTCAAGCACAAGTGTAAAGAGATGGGACTTGAGGATCGGATTATAAGGCTAAGAATCGAGGACGACAACTGTGGTTCTGAGAAGAAAACTGGTTGAAACTCCATGGTTGCTAAGGCACATGCTGTGGAGGATAAGTCAAGAAATAAGAAAAAATGGAAGCATAATGGGGAAGGCTCAAGCCAAGGGAATTCAAAGAACAACAAATAATTCAAGGTCAAGTGCTTTAGTTGCAACAATCCTAGTCACAGAGCAACAGATTGTCTAAAAAAAACCACAGAAGTTCATGTGACTGAGGAGGATATGTTGTACAATGAGATATCTGATATCAACCTCCCAGTTGTAATCTCTGAAGTGAATATGGCAAGCAACACCAAGGAATGGTGGGTGGACATTGGGGCTATGCACCACATATGCTCTGATAGAAAAATGCTTACAACATATGAACAAGTGAGCCAAGAAGAACAACTGTTCATGGGAAATTCATCTATTTCTAAAGTTGAAGGTTAAGGAAAATGAAAAATGACTTACTCTTAATTATGTGTTTCATGTGCTTGATATCTAGAAGAACTTGGTCACTGGAGCGTTGTCAAGCAAGAATGGATTTAAATTGGTCTTTAAGGTTGACAGATCTGTACTTGTTAAGAATGGGATGTATGTGTGTTGGGGAGGGGGGAGGGTACTTGAATAATGGTCTTTTCAAGAAGAATGTAATGACTATTGTACCTTCTATTAATAATAAGAACACAATTAGTTTTGCTTATATTTTTGAGTCCCCAAATGTTTGGCATGGTAAACTTGGACATGTGAATTATGATACTTTACGTAGATTATTTAACATAAAATTATTGCCTAAGTTTTAACATTGATGCAAATCACAAATGTGAAACGTCTATAGAAGCCAAATTAACTAAAACATCATTTCATTCTATACAAAGAAGTACAGAACCTCTAGATTTACTTCACAACGATATTTCTGACTTAAAATTTGTGCAAACTAGGGGTATTAAAAAGTATTTCATTACTTTTATTGATGATTGCACAATATATTTGCTATGTATATTTGCTTAGGAGCAAAGATGAAGCCATAGAAATGTTTAAACACTATAAGACTGAAGTTGAGAGTCAACTTAGCAAAAGGATTAAGATTTTAAGAAGCGATAGAGGTGGTGAATATGTAGCACCTTTTGGTGAGTTTTGTGCTCAACAAAGAAATATTAATCAAACTACCGCTCTTTATTCACCTTAACAGAACGGTGTTGCTGAATGCAAAAATCATTCATTGAAAGAAATGATAAATGCTATGTTGATAAGCTATGGAACACCCCATGATTTGTGGGGAGAATCATTGCTTTCTGCTAATCATAGTCTGAACAAACTACTTCATAGAAAATTAGATAAGGCACCATATGAGTTATGGAAATGTCATAGACCTTCTTATAAATATCTCAAAATTTAGGGGTGTCTAGCTAAGGTAGCGGTCCCTGATTCTAAAAAGGTTAAGATCAGTCCAAAAATCATTAATTGTATATTCATTGGTTATGCTTCTAATAGTAGTGCATACCGATTCCTTGTACATAAATCAAAAAATATTGATGTACATGTGATTTGGAATATGGTCTTGTTCAATTATTTCTTATATGTGCATACTATCGGATTGTGAATAATATTTCGCTAGTATCGTTGATCTTGTTAAATTAATTTGTCATATGCTTGAATGCAGATTCGAATTTCTTTGCTTTTTATTGTCGAACGGAAATATCAAATGAAAATATGATTGTTATGTTGTGAGATTAAATATTTTTGTTGCAAAAAAAAAAAAAAAAAAAGGCTGGGAATTTTGAATAGAGGTTAGGATTTTAATCTAGTTGAGCCGATTTTTGGTAGGTACTAGGTTCTCAGGTCAGGCCATATGCACAAGGTTCTATTAGAGTAATTCGGGACTGGTGACAAAGACATTGGTTGGCAAGACGACTAGCAAAAATGGGTAATTTAGGATTACATTGGGTTTGGGTGATTTTGAATATCTTTTCACTTAGAATAGTACGCTATGTACAAGTTTTAAGTGATTAATAATTCAAGTTAGGGGATTAAGTGACACGTTTATATTATATTTTTCTGCATTATTGATTAAACTCCATCATTTTTTTATTGAAGGTCTAGGTCCCTACTGTGCTTTTTCACCCTAATTAAATTTGTGGAGATCATGAACCGGAGAACTAGTTGTGTATTTTGTGTGAAGTGTGCAACAATGTGTATACATAAATAGATGAAGAAGTTTGGATGTTTTCTTCTTCTTTGTTATTTTGCTTTCTTTGTTCCTCTTTGGATTTCTTTTGTTGTTTTTTGTTTGTTGGAATAAGAAACTATTCGCGTTATCATTGAGTAATCCCAAAAGTTGTAATTTCAAATGTAAAAATATTTTAATAAAGTTCATGTTTCCATTGATTCTTCTTATTTATAATTATATATTTTTATTTCAATCTTCACATTCTACTTACTTTAGATTAGCTAATTTAATTAAAGCGTGAATCACGTTCTAATCGGGGTTTAGAATTAATCTTGGATTCGGGTGTGACAATGTACACTTACTTTTGTATTGATATACAAAAGATGATTATAAAGTATGGAAGTTTACAAGAATAAAAGTTCCCAGAGGAAGTTTACAAGAAGGCTGGAAGGTGGAGGTTGGTTGCTCTGTATGCTTGTGTTTTCTTTGTGTGTAGGTGCGTGTGTTCTGGTGTTTGAAGGAAAGCCTTCATTTATACACAAATAGGTCTTCTAGCCTACAAAAGTTCTTTGCATAAAATTACAATTACTGTACTATTTCCAAAAATAAATGACACGACATACTGTTTTTGAATGTGGGTGTCACTTGTTTGGTTTTTTCCTTCACATCTTGCTGTCTCCTTCTCCTTCCTTTGCTTTGTCACAAATTAATTTGTTTTTGTTTGGACCACACATGCCCATTTGCATGGAAAAGGATTCTCCCTGGGTCCTTTTTCTGGAGATCTGAGAGATCTTTTGTTCATATCTGTTCATCGTACATCGTGCGATTATAAATCATTTTAAATTTTAAATTTTAAATTAAATATAAATAGTACCTAACAAAAATTAACCATACGATGTACGATGAACACGCCGAATCCTTTTTCCATTTGCATTGCTTTATAGTAAACATACCGACTACTTTGAAGAATTCTAGCTCCAAGGATATATTGGGAATTATGACAACTTTTTGTCCTTAAAGAATAATATAGCCCAATTTTGGAGCTTTTCATTAGTTTTCTAATTTTTTTTCTCCAGACTGCAATTTAACTCAATAATTTATAGGTAGTGCTATTCACATACTAGTTATTACTTTTAGCACATCCTTTCAATTTTTTATATCGAATCAAATGAATTGAAAAATATCAATGAATAAAAATTAACAAGAAAAAAATGTAAAAAAGATTGTGTTAATAGCAATAGCCTACTTTATATCCACCGTCCAATTCAATACAGATGTTAAATAGCGTGGTGTGAATATGACAAGTGCGCCAGAGAAAATTCAGTTGTTTTTTTTGTTTTTTTGGTCTGTATTTGGGCTTTCTGATGACATGGGCCTTTTCTACTATTTGGAATTTGTACTTAAAAAAAAAAAATATAAAAAAAAAAAACTCACGCACGCTGGGCAGTGGGGTTACCGTTACCATCTTACTCCTACCAACGGTTTGAAAATTCTAAACTCAACAGGAGAGAAAAGTGAGAAAGCAGCAAGGGCTAAGGGGATCGTAGCCGTTAGACGGGGGCAGAAATCCAACGGCCTTAATTCGATGAGAATAAGACCGTTGGGGAGAAGCGTCGGTTCAGGCTTCAGCAGCTTCAAAAGGAAACCATGACAACCACAATCTGACAAAACTTGGAGAAAGACGAAAGACGAAAGACGAAAGACGAAAGAGAAAACGAAAGACGAAAGACGAAAGAGAAAACGAAAGACGAAAGATAGTCGAGAAGTGGAGGAGAAGGTGGCGACCATTAACGGCGAAGAAGACGGAGAGACGCGCAGCAGTCGTCTCCAAGTGTTTCTGTCGTCCTTGTTTTCGAGTCTGGGTGGAGTTTTTGGTGGTAACGGTCAAGAAATTCAAGATCTTGAAATGGCTTCGAAAGCCGTCGCTGTTGGGCCTCAACAAGAACAGCAACAACAACCCCACAAAGGTGCCGTACCACCACCTTCCTTAATCTCTTCTCTTCTTCTCTTCTGTCAATCATGGTTTCGATTTCTTTCGTTCCCTGGCCTTGTTCCTTTATGTTTTGCTCACATGTTTAAATGTCTCAGAGGGAGGTAAGCAGAAGAAAGTGGCAGCAGAGGGGAAAAATAGGCAGGTTCTTAGAGATATTGGTAACCTCCATGGCCAAGCCCCCGCAGCAGCACCGGATAAGACCAAGGTTATAACCTTACCCATCTTTTTAGTTTTACTTCTTTTGTCAATCTTAACTGTGTTTTAGAGTTCGTAATTCCAATTGATTAAATGCTGAGTTCCGTTGTTTAATCTTCAGAAACCCGTCACACAACCAGTTCATGGGAAATTCAAATCCGATAATGCAACCAAGGTTGTAGCAGTGGTTGAAAATGACAAGATTAGTGGTGTCAACAGGCAAGGGGTGGCCTCAAGGAAGAGTGTCAGGGCCTTCACATCAACTCTCAGTGCCCGAAGCAAAGTAATTTTCCCTTTTGACAACCTTTTTCGTTACTTTTGCTCGCTCTGTATACCATCACTCAGTTTCTCTTCCCACAGGCTGCTGCTTCTGGACTGACTAGTAAGCTAAAGGATCTAAAGCTAGACATCGATACAGCTGATGCTGATAACGAGTTGGCAGTAGTAGAATATTTGGATGACATCTACCAGTTTTACAAGCTCTCACAAGTATTTACTTGAACTTTCTGTTTTCCTTTTTTCAATCAATCAGAGCTCACTCATCCTTCTCTTTCCCCCTTCCTCTCTCTCTCTCTCTCATTGGATGGTTCGTTCTGATGCAGGATGAGAACCGCGTTCATGAGTACATGGATTTACAGCCTGAAATAAATGCCAAGATGAGATCAATCCTTGTAGACTGGTTGATAGAAGTTCATCACAAATTTGAACTCACGCCAGAAACCCTCTATCTTACCGTAAACATTGTAGATCGATTTCTTTCAGTAAAACTTGTGCCGAGGAGGGAGCTTCAGTTAGTTGGTATCAGCTCAATGCTTCTAGCAAGCAAGTACGAAGAAATTTGGGCGCCTGAGGTAGTGTTATTGTTTTTGTTATGTATTTTTTCCGACGTTATGTTATGTATCGTTGCCTAATCTTGTTTGTGGTAATGTGAAAATGTGCAGGTTAATGACTTTGTTTGCATTTCAGACAATGCTTATGGTAAAGAAAAGGTGTTGGTCATGGAAAAAGCAATCTTGGGAAAGCTGGGATGGTGTCTAACAGTTCCCACACCGTACGTCTTCCTTGTTCGCTACATCAAAGCGTCTGGACCATCTGATAACGATGTAAGACTTTTAAAAACTTTTATGGTGTGATTTTTCATCCTAGTTCCTTGCAGTAATCTTGGATTGGGATTTTAATAAGTTGCTTGTTTGTGCTAATGTAATGTAGATGGAGAATATGGTGTTTTTTCTTGCTGAATTGAGCTTGATGGACTATACCAGTATGATTCTGTACTGCCCTTCAATGATCGCTGCATCTGCTGTTTATGCTGCTCGATGCACCCTTGACGAGAGCCCTTTATGGACTGAAACTCTCAAGCATTACACTGGATATTCAGAAGACGAGCTCAAGTACTTAGTAAATCTTTCCCAGTTTTCTCATAATCTTTTAGTTTATGACTATGGATTGATCTTTTCTCAATTCTGGAACAGGGATTGCGCAAAGGTTCTGGTAACCCTTCATTCGGCAGCTGCAGAGAGTAAGCTCAAGGCAGTCTATAAGAAGTTCTGTTGCTCGAAGCGTAGCGCGGTTGCTCTTCTTTCACCAGCCAGTGGCCTTTCTGCCGAACCACTCTGAATATTAATATTATCGTGTTCTGTGGATTAATCAATGTTTTGAGATCATTTTGTTGTTATGATCCTTGCTTGCAGCAATCTATTGTAATATTTTCGACTCAAAAATACTGTTGATGTATTTCAATGCTCATGAATGAATGATTCTTCTTCGAGTAAAAGTTGCGATGCATACCCTGTTAGGGTTAGGGAAAAAAAAACTTTTGTAATCCAGCGTTGCTTGATAACATTGAGAAATCTGAAGAACTAATCAAAAACCCAGAAATACCAACTGATCAAAAAAGAACATTACAAGTATTTGAAGAGTAAAATTGCATTACATAGAAAAAGCCTTGCAAACAGCTCTACGACTTTCCGTCTCCTTCCTCAGTGACCTTGACCTTAGCCCCACAACAGCTCTTCCTGCTATGCCTTTCAGAATCAGCTTCGACTTGCTTCTCATAATACATGTCATCTTTTTTCCCGAGATCCAACCTCCGCTCTAGGAACTCTGAATTCTCCTTCCAAACCTCTCCATTAGCATAAACCTCCTTTTTCCATATTGGAACTGATGCCTTTATCTCATCAATCACAAATTTACAAGCATCCAATGCATCAACTCGATGAATAGATGACACTGCAATGAAAACACTTGTTTGACCAACTGGAACAGGGCCCAGGCGGTGGGCAACTGCAATGGAGAGGAGATTCCAGGATGATCTAGCAGATGAACAAATGGATTTTAGGCACCGTATTGCCATGGGAACATATGCTTCATATCTGAGCTCCAAGACTGTTTTGCCCTCAAAAGTGTCGCGCGTGGTACCCGAAAATGTTGCAATGGCACCCGCCTGTGGGGCACTCACATAGTTGATATATTTGGCCATGTCAATTTGGATCTCCTCCTCTAAGATTTCCACTAGATTTTTCTCATCCTCAGCCATCTCCATCTCCATCTGGGACTTGAGCAGAAATGCAGAATCCCCGAGCTCTGAAGAATGATGCAACTTTTATCTCACAATTTCTCTTTGCTTTTCAGCTGATAGTTCAAACCTGTGTCAAGAATAAGGTCCGTGGTAAAATCAGCCAATTTGTTACATGACAGACATGATAAATCTATCGATCATACACAAAAGACCGACTGAAATGGTAAATATATCGATCATAAACAAAAGACAGGCCTAAATGATAAATCTATCGATCATAAACGAAAGACAGACCAAAGTGATAAATCTCTCTGTCAAAAAGATAAACAATGAGAGAATTCCAGTACCTGATGGCTCTGGTAAATTATCAGAAAGGGGAGGTTTTAGCTTAAGTAGGAATCAACCACAAACGGAACAATTAAAAAACTCAAGTTCCTAGTGATTTTTGTCCCCTATCAATATCAAGCCATCCATGTATGAGATACCAAATCAAAAAGGTTGAAAACCCTAACGCGCTCATAGAGTCATAGTTAAGAATGCAACCCAAATGATATAATTTTGGCATAATACAGAACAACCCACCAATCAGACCAGCATGAAACAGAAGGAAACATAGCGTAGTGTTAAAAACAGAAGAAAACTCAAGTTGCAGTTGATAATATGCAGTCCGCCCCTGAATTAATCAAATCCATTTCAAGGGTTGAAGTTTCTAAGAAACCATTACAAAATTTCACAACATTTGAGGAATTTTCTTATATCCAAAAATTAGGAATTGCAACAAGATAGAGTCAAACAAGCTAATCAATCCAATTAACAATTAAACCAGAAAATCAATGATTCCACGTTCATCACGACCTAATCCAATCCAATTAAGAATTAAACTGTACCTGCTGATAGTATTAATACTCAATACTCACAGTAAGTGAAAAACTGTATGGTACTGGAGCAGATGGGTAGCTAAGAGATGAGAGAGAGAGGAGGTTGACGACGGTAAACACTCTGTTTACGACTTTAAGGCGACGCCAGCAACCATCTCTTTTTTGGTTTTCTAATATCCATACGCCAATCGTCTTCTTCGCTTAAACATTAAAAACATTACTCAATAATTAAATGACCTTTTGTTTTGTTTACTTTAAGCATGGTTAATCTTTAAATGTTGTTTAGAAAATAGACGGCTCTGGCGATTATTTTACACTATTAGGTTTGGGACGATTTTCAAAGAAGGCATGTGAGGATCACTTAATCAATCCGTTGGGTGCTTAACGTGTTGATTCGATATCAACACGACCAATTAAGCCTTGATCCGAGCAATGATTTTTTTCATGTGTCGTTTTATGTCGTATTAGCGGTGGTGGACTATCCACAAGCTTAGGTGGGCTGTAGTTAGGAAGGTGTTTTTTTGTAAATTCATGCTTTCATTGCTTATGTTAAGAGCATCTAACCCCAAGAAGTGGGGTCCCCACACCAAATTGAGGATCCAATCTTTAGATTTTTTGGTCTTTTTTTTTTTAATTTTTTTAAGAAATGGGTGAGCCCTATTATTAATTTCAAAACATGATTTTAAGGGTTTATTTTTCAACCGTTTAGGATTTTAAGGGTTTATTTTCAATCCATTTGTTTGATTAAGAAAACATATACAAACAACGACTATCTTTTGTGTGATTGATTAGAAGAAATGTAGTGCTTTGAGTTTAATTTTCTAGAATGAAAATTCATAAAAAAGTGATGAAATTTAACATTGGTAGTTTAGAGACCTAAATCGAAAATATAGACAAATAACATAACTAAATTGTGATAAGATAATCTAATCCAATGGTTGTTATGAAATGAAAATCTTGATTGATTTCAGAGAATGTGTTAATCAGAGAAATAAACCAAATGATGAGATTGAGATAAGATAATCAAATCCAATGGTTGTTATGAAATGAAATCTTATGACACACCCCGATCGAGATCAGGGCATGCTGGCCGTCACGTGGAAGTGACGAAGCCATGTGCACAGTGCGGAAACAAATAAAATAATAATAGAAATAGTACGAATAAATAAAACTAGCTTTACACAACGTAATAAAAATCAAGTGCAAGCGTAAGTGTGAACCCTAAGTTCAGAGCATAAAGCTTAATGCAGTCCAAAAGGGAAAGACGACAACAAAAGCACACCCGAAGGTGGTCATACACTGGTGGTGGTCTGTCAGATATGCTGGAAAAGTCCTTAGGGAAGCCACCAAACATGCTAGCCAACTAGAACTTGGAGGGGCGCAAAACAAAAGCGTGAGTGGGCAAAAACAAAGCTTTTCGAAAACCAATTCAATAAATAAGTTCTAACCCCTTGCCGTAAAACCTGTATACTTCCCAGAAAATAGCATACATATATATATATATATATATAAGTCATGCTCGAGAAACGTGCCATGCAATATGTATCGAAGTAGTATGCCAGTGCTCAGGAAACATCAAATCAATACCATGTAACTGTCAGCTGGAGTCACCTAACGTGACCTGTACGGCTGAATCTAGAGCTCGAATCTCTATCTCACTAACTATACCTGCACACGAGTCGGAACCACCTAAAGTGGTATGTACGACAGCCTAGGTGTAATATAAGTACGCTTAAGTGCTACGATCACGTGAAGGCTGGGCGAATAATCGCGGGTCACCTACAAGTCGGAACCACCCAAAGTGGTCTGTACAACAGGACTGTGCACCTAACTTGGATCCAAGATGAGCGTGTGGTGCGGGAGGTGAACATCACGTGAAGGACTGTGCCCGACTCTGGACGGGAGCACTAACACCGGGGGTGCAGGTTATGAGCTCTCTAAGTCTTTAGAATTACTACTGAATGTAAATAGAAATTATACTCACTTGACACTCACCTGTGCGTCCACAGCACCAATATACATATGTATAAATGCAACTAACAATGTATAACAACGACAATATAATGCATGGCGTATAAGGAATAAACGATTCAAAATCAATTTCTGGGAAAAGTATAAGTATATAGGTATATACAGAAAACCAAAAGCCCACTCACTGGTAAGTGGAAGGGTCGTAACCCCCTTGCCTCGAGTGACCACGCTCGTCCTCGGGATACGTCTCACCTATATGCGAAACAACTATAAAAACGTTAATTTTAAAGCACATAACCAACCTTTAGAAATAACTTCTCATACATTGCTCAAATGGGGTGTATGAATACACCAACGTGATCTACTCAACCTCAGGAACATCCCCATATTTTTAAAATAATTTTTCACCGTCGCACGCGCCCCCACGCGCTGGCCAAGGCACGGCCACATGCGCCGGCCACGCGCAGGCACGTGCCTGGCACGTGCCTGGCACGCTGATGGCGTCAGTTGACGCCGTTAGGAATATTCCGTTATTCCCTAACGGTTTCTGTCAACGGTGTTAGGAATATTCCGTCCAACTAACAGAATATTCCGTCGTCTTCTCCGGCGAGACTTCGGCGTCGTCGCCGGTGCCGGAAAATCGGGAAAAACTTCTAATTGTCCTATCTTCTTCGTTTTTCAACCAAATTTCACAAAATTGGTACCAATGAAGCTTACAACGAGAGGAACAAAGCCATACCACTTTCAAGTGCTAAAATCCACGAAATCTCACCTGAAAAACTCCACCATTTCCGGCCAACTTCGAAACTCACAATCCCGACGTCCAAAACCTTCAAACGAACCACTCCGAGCCTCCTAGGGACCTCACCAAGCTTCCTACAAGCTTGAAATTCCCAAAATCGTGAAAAATCACGTGTGCATAAACAGTACCAAAATCGGGCATCACGAGTTCGACGTGAAAACGAAGGTAACCTTACCTGAAATGGGTATGGTTGGACTCCTACGAGCCTCACGAGCATGGATTTGTATTTTGTTTCTTCGATCTGTGAAGATTTAATGGGTGTGTGTGTGTGTTTCCGTACGATGGTGATGATAATGGAAGGGAAAAGGACTCGGGGTAGGGGGTACAGGGCTGAGGAAAGGTGAGGGTGAGTGTGGGGAGGTGTGTGGTGCAAAACCAGCCACACAAACCAAAAAGAACAACCACACAACGAAAAATCTCGCTAGGGGCAAAATCATCTTTTCATGCGTACGTTTTTAAAATTTCCGGGACGGGCCGTCACATCTTATCTTGTTTGATTTCACATAAACAAACCAATAGATGAAATTGAGATAAGAGAACCTACAACAGTACATAAGTGATGAAATCCAACTTTGTCAGAAATTGAATTTTATTAGGTTAAAAAGCTCATAAATTAAAATTTAAGATAACACTCCAAAAATCAAGTTAAGAAAAGTTAAGACAAAAATAAATTTACCGCATAATCAAATTATTACGTAAATAAAATATATAGCCCCATATAGAGACCGAAAGATATATAAGCCTTTATTGGGAGAGATTCTTTTTTAGAACCCTAAAGATTCATCGGAGCTCTAAATTGAGCTATATCCACCACTTTTCTAGTCTCATATAAAGTCCCTCATTGGAGATGATGCATGTAGTTTATATAGCTCACTCATTTTCATACAGGTTAATATTTAATGTATACTTAGTGCATGATAGGCAATAAATAATTCTTTTATGCTAAAAATAAAATGAGTTCTCTCTATTCCCCATCCTCTTACAGTGGTAGGGAGGAGTGTTGCTTTTGTACCATGGCGTGGGTTCAAATTCCGTCGGTTTCCTAATCTCTAACATCTAAACTAACAAATATATTATTTGACAAAAAATAAAAAGACTTTTTACCCTATGCAATCTAACCATTGTGCTTCTTACTCAAGAAAAATAAAAGATTTTTTTAATCAATCACTAAACCCCTAGCTCTGCAACTTACTTTTCGTTGAGATTTTCCAATGAATGTCACATTTGGTATGTTATTAATCTCTTTATTTACTATTCTTCATTTAATTAGTAGGTTAATTATTTATTTGGTCCTTGAATTTGTCGATTAGATTATGATTTTAAGAAAAGTTTATATTTCATCGTTGTTGTTTCATGTTGATTATTATATAATTTTATATGGGCAAAAAAGGGAACTATTATTAGCACTCCAAAAATTTCATTCTACACTTTTCATAAGTGTATTTTTCTTTTTAATTATAGAAAGTTTGGAGTGTCAAATGAGATTTTTTGAGTGTTAATATCAATTCCCGGCAAAAAAAATGAATATATAATTTTGTGGTACTAATTTCAACTAGCCCACCCAAGAAAAAAGTCCTGGCTCTGATCTTGACGGTACATGTATGAAATTGTTAGGTCTACACTAAATGCATAAATTGATATATTTTTATTATTTTGTGGTGCAAAATGAAAAAAAAAAGTTGAAACTTCAAACCCATTTCAACCTATTAGCAAAAAGGTTATTTCGGTAACTTTACCTACTAAAAGAAAGCCATGGCTAGCTTTATACTATCTCAGTCCATCTCCAATTGAAAGAGCTAAACATAATTCCGTTCAAAATTATAGCCCTGGAAAAAAAAAAAAAAAACCTAAATGAACGTGTCAGACTATACTCATATTTATGTACCATTTCCAACTGAATGAGCTAAACATAGCCCTCTCAATTATTTATCAGTTTTAAATTTATACTTTAAATTGATTGGTTAATTTATTTAAACTAATATTAGATGATTTTAAATTTAGCCGTTGAATTTGAATAAATTATTACAACAAAAGAGCTAGGCCCCAAAAAATAGCTAATATGGGGCTACATTTGACCAGCTTGATGCCCTTTTGAGCCAAATAATGCGCTGGTAGACTCCATAGAATTATAACTCAGCCATTAGTTGGAAATGAATTTCAAGACAAATCAGGTCAATTTTTAGCTTTTGAACCTTTAACCATCTCCATTAGAAATGATCTGAGTCTCTCAGGCAGTCATATTGTTGAATCATCAGATGTTAATGTTTAATAATTTAGTACGAAATTTTTATTTGATTATTCGTTTAAGTAATATACCATTCTTATCGGTGAACATGCATGATCAGCTTAACTATAGTTTTTGCGGGTCGGGTTTGGATTTGAATATGAATATTTCTACTGTTTGGCTTAATGAGTAAACACAATATGATCCATACAAATAAGGGTTGATACAAGCATGGTAAACACAGCCCTTTTGCCAACTCTAATTTGGTGAGACTCATTGTTTGATCCTACATCAAATGATGGCATGATGAGCGTGCAACGCTTACATTGGTTAACGTATAAGTTATATATCCGCACTACTTAGACAAAACGGAACTCATCAACTTAGGGGGTGATTAGATGTTTAAAGAGACAAATGCGACGCAAGTGCAAGAAAAATGTCCAGGAAGTTGACAAGGTAACATGTGAAAAGTGAAGACACAGAGGGAGAAATGTTTGGAACTATTACATTAATTTCCAAGAGGGAGGAATTTTGAACTTGTGATGCATATGAAGGAACCCGACATCATATCAACTAGGATATTGGACCACGCAGTGTCCGAGTTTCTAACCCACCCCTCTTAGTCTGCATTGCAGTAACAATATCATATGACAAAACAGATCCATTAACGAAGGGTTTCCAATCTCAGGTTACCAAAATCAATCAACAAAATGTTACACCAATCACTCGGCATACGAAAGGTGTTACACTCAAATCAACCCCCAATCCCAAGCCCGGAAGAGCATTGTTTACACTCTCAAACAATAAGGCAAAATGAAAAAAAATGCCTTCATGTCGTAAAACGAAACGAAAAATGAACATGGAAGCGCCTACACGCACAGCTAAACAAGGCCACATTTTACTGTTACAAACTTATAATACAAGAGGAAGCTCAATAATTACATTTAGTGACTACGATACTTGTCGACGTCCCATCAGGTTCCCAGGGGAGTTCTGTCATCCGGCCCCGCCAGCATTATCTGCCACATTACGCATTGAATATTGATAATCTCTTCGTCAATCATATATAACAAGGGACCAAGAAACAGCAGGGAGAAAACTCTACATACATTACAATCAAAAGCAAATCTCCTGGCAAGCATGATGGCCGCATTCCTCTCTCGTTCTGATTCAAATGCCAACACGTAAGAAAGCCCTTGCTTCGCTTGCCAAAACAGTGCCTGAGCGGCAGCATTCCCACCTCCTCTAACTCCGCATAGCTAAAGCATATGAGCAAACAGCATTTGCAGACATGGTTTAAAATCAGTGAGACAAAAATAAAGGAACACAACTAACGTTTTAATACAAAAACCATTGTCTATTGGAGTGCGGTTTCTATTCTGGTTTCAGTTGCAATGACAACAAACAAATTGCTAGTAGAACAAGTACATTTCAATTTTTGCACTCATGGCTTTGCTTATTGGAACACCTAAACCACATATGCGATGCATTAATGATGAGATGCAACAGAAGACTCGGGGAGATTAAGATTGAATGGTAAATGTTATAACAAACAACTGTATTGTTACTTAAACGGGTTAAGTGGAAAACGAAGAAAACATCTCTAATACCTGCATTGAGGGAGAAAAGTATTCTTTAGCAATTGTAGTTTTTCCCTTGCAAAGTTTAATCCTCATTTTTCCAACATGAAATACATGAATAGATTCCGAAGGATGATTCACCCCATTCATCTGGGTAATAACTACCTGCAAAGCAACAAAAAGAAAAAGATACGTCTAAGGGGGCAATGGATGATTGTAGGTGATGAAAATAACACTAAATCTTTTATTTTTTTTTCAGCTACCAATAAGAACAAATGAAAACAGTGACTGCACAGTTCAGCAAATACGCTATAGATAATAGAAATGCCATTTAAGACACCAAGAAAGAGAGGAAAACTGAAAAGTTGATGGAAATCATAGTGACACCGAACTTTCGTCCAAATGTTTATTCTTTTTTCATTTTAATCTCCAAAAGGCATATATGGAACTTTGAGCATTTGATCTAGATGAAAAGCTCAACATTGACTGGACAGTTCACACGACCTTAACAAAGGGTCAGTCCATACATGATGATTGATAGGAAAGTTTTTAAGAAAATGATACTTTCCCATAACACTGAAAAAAATTTCACCATAATAATACTAAATAAGCAAAATCGTTCATGATATAAGCATAAAACCTGAACTCTTGTCACAAACGTTAGGCTGAAGATATAATACAGTGCACAAACCAATAATTCTGAGAAAAGATTTGGATGACATAACATACATTGAACTCAATATCATGTTTCCGTACAAGTGCCTCCACATAGCTTCCCAAACCAGCAGCTGATGATAGCAAAGAAATCAGCCCCTTCCCCATTCAGTTTGTTTAGATCATAAAAGGATATACATGTTGACAGATTTGAACAAATGAAATAAACGGCTATCACAATGTCTTAGTAATTCAAAATCTCAACTTGATGAAAGACAAAAATCAGTTATGTAAACCAGACCAGGATCAATGGGACCAGCAGTTGTCAGTGTTAGCCTCTGTCCTTCATAAATAATATCAACTTGCAAGACTCGCCCAACATCAAAAGGCTCTGGGGCATAAACTGATTTTATAGCTCCTGGTGCAGGGAAAGTTGAATGAGAAATGAATAAAGATCTTGACAGCAAATTGGTTATGGGTTGGTTGTAAAAAGATCTTAACAGCAAGAAATTCATCCACATTTTAGGTCAAATTTGGTCACATGTGCTCCAAGTTACTCAATATAATTGATGCACACGTGGTCCATTCACGCTGAAAGGGATGTCTTGAATATATAAAAACATACAAACATACACAGATATATTAACAATCAGTATTATTAGATCCAATGAAATGGTGAAGAATAAAATAATTACACACAAATATTAAGGGTATCAGTTTTAAACGTCACTCAACCATCTATTCTTAAACAATAAAAGAGGGTCGTGAATCCCATTCAGCCACTCTTCATGAAAAATTAAAAGGGTCCCTGTCCTCTGTCCTACAACAAGCACAGTCCCAATATTTAAAAGACCTAAAAGAAAAATAATCATGAACTTCAAAACGAACAAATATTAACAAGTGTCATTCTCCTTTTTTTTCTTTTGCCGGAGCTTTCAATGACACTGAAACAATAGGCAGTTTAGTTTAGCATTGCATGTTAAAGAGTGTAAAAGGAATCTTTGATCCTTCAAGCTTAGAGAGACAAGCCATGAATATTTTTTCCACTGGAACAATAATGTTGCAAATAGGCCTCAGCTCATATGCCATCCAGCAATGTTAACCATTGAAGTTTAGCTCATATATCAAGGTTTCAACACAGAGTGCTCAACACTAAACTGGGCAAAGCCTAGCCAAATTCAGTACTAGGGTGAACTTTTTAGCTAGTGATGTGCATGCTACATAAGCTTGAGTATAGTCATTGAGTGAGTACATGATTGACGCAATTGATTAGTTAGAAATCTGACAGATAATCTGAAAGTAGAGGCCATCCTGATTGCCGAAGTCTAGCTCCTCTTTACTAAGAATATAGATGTATACATAAATCAAATCAATTAGTCTAGAACCATAAAGCAATGCTAAACATATCAAAGACAACCAAGTATATGCATGTCTGCATGATAAACATGGTTATGTGCACCTGGCACTGGTTTATTAAAATTTCATGTACTTATTATATAAACACAGAAGCAAACATGCAAGAGCGCACACACTCAACAACGAAAGTTCTGGAGCTACACCAAAGAAAGTGAAAAGAATACAAATGAGCATTTTGTGACACCACCATATTTATATAACACCGAACCAATTATTATCATGCCCTTCTTCACAAACTCAATAGTAAGCATAAAAAAGACTATATACCTGATATAGACTCCTTCTTGCCACCTTGAGATGATACACGATACCATTGAATCAAACATTTACAGAGTTCTGGAGCATCACCAGAGCAAGGCTGAATCCGCAAATATGACCCTAAAACTTCAGGGCCATCTAATTCAAATAATTCGGAAATTTTCTCCAAGCCCCTCTTGCTCATTGCCAGCTGAAACATACATAGTGAGGACGTCAGAAATAAAGTGTACAAGATAAAAATCAGTCAACTATCATACTATCCCCCTATCCCCAACTCTATGATACTTCATGGTATGTAAACATTCAGAACATGGACATATTCTCTGTGTGATTACTCAGTACTCATTCTCCAATTTACTAATTTTCTATAATTAAAGGAGATTACTTTATTTTCTTGGTGAATTAAGCAACTAATAATCAATGCAAGAACTTTAGCATTTCATTAAGCGTAGACACAATTTCCAAAAAGAAATCAAAGAGCACAGGCAAGCTTCGTATTGGCAGCTAGCTTTCTGTACCATATGTATTAGGATCTTAGGAAAAAAAAAGAAAAAAACGTATTAAGACCTGTAGCCGTAGGCAACTATGGGCTACTAGAATAAGTGAAATAACTCCAGAGGCTTGGGGATGGGTCTCAGCTCACTTATGGAGTTGTTTTATGCCATCTACCAGCACTTAAAACCCATCAAACCAAAAAAGGGTCCATTTAAAGCCTGATCCAAATATGATCTGGAAAAGCATTACTGGGACCAAAACTCTTTAACTAGAGTCCCAAATTTCTAAATTCTGCCATGACAAAGGAGTACTGATACTACTAGACTTGAGATGTCTAAATTCATAAATCCACACTGATCTAATAAAGGAGCAAGAGTTGATGTAAACCTGGTTGACCAGAAATAGGCCGAACCAAGAAAATCCGTTTCCTTCTAGCTTTATTCAGCAATAAATATATGGGAAGCTTTCGATTATATAATCAAAAGAAGACGAAAATTTCAAACATAATTCTTTTAATTATATAATCAAGTTCAAATGGAACATGAAGCGGACAAAATAAAAAAAGAAAATTTGCTAATAAGCAAAGTTTTCTATCCTATTTGGAGGTTCACGATCTACTATTTTTGTTTTGCATTTAGTACTCGCTGACAGAGAAATCTTTAATTGCTTTGCTAGAGAACCAGACTATATTAAAAAAATTCACATCAAGTTTCCTCAAAAGGAAAAAAAACTTGTGTGGGTTCTTATATCTAAAAAATTATTCTTCGGGTTTCTTCATATTTTGTTCCAAAAAAGTAATTGCTTCTTGCTGCCTAAAACCTCAAGGAATTTAGTTGCATTAAGAACTAAAATAATCAGAGACTAACATAAGATAAAACCCACATTTGATCCTCATCTCGCAAATCCAAATTGCCAGAACCCAAAAGACTAGGCAAGCCTAAAACTGAATGTTAACACCTCCTACTAAAAACTGCATGGAAGTTTGAACCACTCAGAATCAGTATATTGACATATGATATGCAATGGAAACTCATCACAGAACATCACGAAAGTCAAATATATCAAAAAAGGCAAAGCACTTAGAATAATAAACAAACCTCTTTTTGAAGCCGAACAGAATTCTTAGACTTCTCCGTAAGTTGTGCCCTCAATGCTCGAAGCTCGTGTTCCATGTCCATTACCTACAAGTCGATGATCAATCCATCAAGATATTCTTACACGTAAAGATTATTAACAGAGCCAGAAAAGGGTGTACAGTAATCATGTACAAGAAGTATTAAATAGTAAATTAAACTTAAAAAAAAAAAAAAAAAAAAAAAAAAAAAGCAAGAGTCACTAAGTCCAAACAAGACTACTTTTATGCAGAAGTGGCTTCATTATTAAAAAGAAAAGTGGTCTCTAAAAACTTGCTCTCATGTAATCCATGAATAAAAAAAAAAAAAATGTTCAGTAGTCTTTTTTATTATTTAGTTATTATATAAGAAAAACTTACTAAGGGAAAACACAAGAAATACAGGAAGCATGGAAAAATGGTCCATGAAACACTTAAAGCAAACAGAAGAAACACAAGAACCCAGTGAAAAAACCTAAACCAATATGCAAAGAAGCATGAAACCAGGAACTTCTGCTTCGTACAAGGAATTATCGGGAAGTTGTCAATACTCAGTTATTCAAAAAATTTAAAAACTTCAGAATAAAATCAACCGAGTGCAATCCCAATCCCAACCTATAGAGTACTGCAGCTTTCCAGTCTAAAGCAATTCATGAAGGGAACTATCCTTAAATAATGTGGACAGTAAAGCCCAGGCCCCAGAGTGAGAACCAAACTCTGAAACACATTAAACAGCTTAGCTTTAAAACCGAAGGAGAAATGCCTGACACACGAGACCAACAATGCTCTCTGCCATAAAATCCATGCAAGGAAATAATACTTCCATCTAAACCGAAGCAAACACTGTGCAAATAACTCCCTAATCTCCAAGGCATAGGAGACAGGGCAGTAAAAACAGAATGGACTTTGGGTAATTTCCTCAAATCTAAATTACAACAACAACAAAGCCTTATAGCCTGTCTCCTCAAATCTACATTAATCAACAACAATCATTTTTTTTTTTTTTTTTTTTTTTTTTAAAGAGTTTTACGGATTGTGGGTTGTCAAAACTTAAAAGAAGCAGCAAAGATTTCCACCTCCAGAATAACAATTATACCCTTCCGCAGGTAAACTTCCTTATTTAGATTAGAAAACACCACCGAGAGACTAAGTGCCATGCTTCCACTGGGCCTTCCTTAGGAAAAATAATTACTCAAGCCTAGCAAATATCAACGGGATAACTGAGCCTCATGGCATCTATAAAACTCAGAAGCTTTTTCCTAACCCTTAAAACATTTTTCTACACTCCCCTGCATCATGTACATTTGCATTCAAAAATTGCAAAAATACCAAGTATTGACAACTTTCAATCTGTCAAAATCAGAACATAAAAAGGATCCCATAAATACAATTGACCATCTGGAACAAGTAAGAACAGTATCAACCTATATGTCCTTCAATGTACAGATAATCGACCAGAAATGGTACAAATACAATTAATCATTATATAGTTACAACTTAAAATAAATAAACAGAACTTAGAACTAAGAACCTTTAGACCAAAGAGAAAGACATTCTGAATGAAAATTCAAAGAAAGCAACTTGTGAGCATCAAATGTTTTGAATTCTTTTTAAAAACTCTTTACAATAAAGCAGAAAGGAAGAATGAATAATTACATAAACCACACAACCTCATGAAAATAACTGACACCATACTTGCATTTAAAATTGTAAACAAAATCAATACAAATGATCTAAAAGTCACCTTGCTTGGCTGATGCAGCATTTTGATTCGTCTAGCCTCTTGAACCTCTTTCATCAATTCTTCTAAGTCCTAAATAACATACAAAAATTGCTCACGTCCAAGATAAATTATATACTAGTCACCAGACATAATGCACTAAAACTACTCACATGTTTCAACATAAAATTGCCAATAGAACATGAAATGAAAGATGCAATTATGTCAATAAATGTCATTCTTATGTCAAGAAAAGTGATAACAATCAACGAAGCATTGATGTATTTAATGCCAACAAGGTTCTAAATATCTCCAAACCCCACCCAACACACCCAACCCCCCCCACAAAACAAAAACCACAAAAACAAAAACAAAAAAAGTTTCAGTAAAAATCACAAATGGCCACTTGATTAGAGGAGAGGGTGGAAAACTAAAGGTAAGAGGGAAATTACGCCCATTTCTCTAATAGACAACATTGACAAAATCCATGAGTTCCAAGGCTTGTTACTTTATTAAATTAGAGGTGTATACGAATAAGGGCATTTAATGCTTCTTTCCAGGAATAAAAACTCCCATAAACATTCTCTTATTCTCTTCTCATCAATCTTCACACTCTTTCACACGTAGCACAAACCTGCTTTCCTGAAGCTCGCGACATTTGTTCTTGTTCCTGAAGGGCTTTTTCCACCCTCTGTACTGCTGCTCTGGCATTTTCAATTTCAGCACGAGCAAAAGCTCTCTCCTCATCAACAAGCTTTTTAGCATCTTCTGAAGCCTGCAAAAGGATGAAGAGACTCAAAATGGAAAATCATTTTAGTAATTAGACAAACAAATAAGAAATGTTTAAAGACCAATTCTTGTGTGGTATATAGCATAATGATTGATGAGTACTTTATAGCAACAATAAAAGTGGAACACATCGAACTCTCGACCTCCCATACAGATATGAGTGTTGGTGGAGGTACGCAACGATGCACCGGTCCATTTATAGAATTGGAGTAGAAAATCGGATAAGCAGTCCCCACAACCTCAATATATGGACCACAAAAGTACTTGCGACTCAAAAAGAGATTTTGGAAGTCCTAGAAACTTCTAGTCACCTATTTGATAAAAAAGTAAATTCATGCGCAGGGAAGTCATGAATTCTTTAGATATCATGTGCTAATAGAGGTCTAGCTTTAACCTGATGACTCATACCGAAAACCAATTTGACTGTAGAGTTTAAAAAGTTCGAAAATAACAAACATATAAGACCCATCCTTCTTTAAAAATGGATTCATCAATGCACCTTGGTCCATGTGATACAAGATGCATCACCATGGCACAGGACCCCACATTTTTTGAATTTCTAAAGTTGCCAAATCTGGAAAAATACAGAAAGCAGCAACTAGAACTCTTCTTCCTTTGTATCAGACTGCATCAGATATGTACAATGTACTCCCAAGTCTCAAACATTAACACAGGAGAATTTACCACACAAGTTGGATCAATAATTACCAAATTCCTACATCTTTTTAATGACTAAGACATAAAAGGACAAATATTAACTTCCAAAAGAATTGTCCTATAAATCCACAAGCTGGACAACTGATTTGAGCAACTTATCAATTAACTTATATCAACCATTACCTTCTTAAGAAAATTTGCTAGCTTCTTCACCTCTGCTTTTTCTTGTATTAACTCCCCTTCTCTTTGAGTCAACTGAACTGCTAAGGCCTCAACCTGAGAGAAGCAATCATAACTTCTTAGTCAGTATTTGCTTTTTTTAAAGACAGCAGAAATAATAACTGTATGAAAGAAAATCAAAACAGTGGGGCAAATGAATCATTATTGAGAGGAATAAACATAATCAGAAATGGTAAATAAAAGTCTATCATGAGAAAACATGGTTGGAAAAGTTGAATTCCATAAGACAACAAGCCCGAAGGTATTAAAGTCCAAAAAATAAATTGATAACCCTTTGATAAAATAGATTAATATCGTTCCATATGGAATCATTTGATTCGACAGGTAATAATGTAATTCGATTATAAATAAGTTAAATTCTAGGGATTTGAATGCATTGGCAGCATCTTGGATAGAGAGGCGAAACTAAAAGGAGGGAGGGAGATTATAACAATTTCTGCAATACACAACGTTGATAGTATCCATTAGTTCCAAGCATATTAGACTATTAGTTTGTTATATTAGTGGGGTATACGAATAAAGGCATCAAAGGCTTCTTTCTAGGGATGTAAACTCCCATAAATCTGATTCTCTTCTCTCGGATCTTCGCTCTCTTTTCCCCCACACCCACTCCCCCTCACTCATAATGTGGATAAGCCTTCACATTTAGTTACATATTTGTCTTCTTTTTCTTGTCATTATAAAAATTATAATGACATCTTATTACATTTTGTATCAGGAATTCAAAAATAAAAAAAAGAACATGTTCCTGTTCAAATACTGCAGGAGTTAATAGAGAGGTTTTAAACTTGTCCAGATCCAAACCCAACCCTCACCCGTTAATTCCAACCCTGCCCCCCCCCCAAAAAAAAAAAAAAAAAAAAAAACCTGACAATAGTTAGGTCTAAATGCTTAACCAAATATTACCTATGCTCACTCTACATGCCTCTCATCCTCACACATAATTTGATCCAGCAATTGTACCTTATTCAAATTAATTGCAACATCTAAACTGGAACAAATCTTCATTAATCCCCCAACCTCCTACCTTTAACAAGCCTTAACCCACCACCGGTGACCCAAATGTCCATGCTTGTACCAGTTTGTTACATACCAATGTGAAGAAAAAATGGAGCAAGGTATGCCCACTGTTTCAATCTATCACTTGCATTGGGTAATTCTGGATAATTTCATTCAAACAGGAACATTCAGAAATCCCAAAAATAACATGTAAGACAACCGTGATATGAAATGTTTGAACAGTTGAAGAGATGAAGATGGTAAAAGTTGGCCTTTGCTTTCCAACAAAATTTTGAGATTTGCTAAGTTCAAATGAAATCGATTGGTGTTCCTTTAAGACAAAGTCGGAAAAGATGAAACAAGGTCACTTGGTAGTGCATGTCATGAAGGTCAAGATGGGAAAAACTTGAAATGGCTTACACGTTTTTAATTTAAGTAGATTCTTTTACCCTTGAAGTTGCAATGTCATAGAGTTTTAACATGGTTTTTGTACAAACAGACACTATCCTATACTTTTGCAACCAAGTCGTCCAGCCAAACAGTCAAATACAATATTTGGTACCCAAGTTCATAAGTTTTACATTATAACAGCAATAATTGCCCAACAACAGCGTGACAAGTGGAACAAGTTTTCTGAGAGGAACAATTCAGAGCAATTAAAAAAAAAAAAAAAAAGGAAGAAAAAAATGAACTAACCATTGAAATAGCATCCACTACATCATCCTTGTTTCTACCAGCCACGCGTCCTTTTAGTGATTCTAGTGCATCCCGAAGCTTCTTCAAAAGGACGTGTTTTTCCAAAGATGCTGCCTCCCTAAGTCTAGCCTGTATTCAATAACTGAATTTGTTTAGAATTTTGCAATCATCCACTCTATTTGGATGTTAATGCTTCAATTTTTTGAAACAGGAACAAAAGAAGCACTGCCAACAATCATTTCCTAACACTAATTTTTCCAAATTATTTAAACTGAAAAAAAAAAAAAAATAGAATGAGATGAACTACAGTCTACAGTGAAATAAACATACTAAGCATTCAAAATCAGATTTCCATCATAAACGAAAAAAATAATGTACTATTAACAATTCAGTCAGAAACGATAATAACTTTCTACCAAAGAACCAATAATTTTGAAAGCATTTAACCTCTTCAGACAACTTAGCAGCAGCAGCCAACCCTTTCTCAAATTTACTGGCAAGGTCTCGGACGGAAAGGCGATTCTGCTGTTCCAACAATTGTGCTGTCTCACGGGCAACAACTTCCTTCATCGACAGTACCTTTCGGTCATCCTTCCCCTCTACAATCTGATTGTTAGATCCAATTCTGTAATTAGGAAACCGACTTGAAGCAAAAACCACATCAGCAGACACCGCCGGAACAGCATCCTTTTGCATTGTGTCCCCAAAATCTCGGCCTACCCTCGTCATTTCTCCAGACCAATTACTGTGTCAACCACCAAAAGCTACACATTAACATTTACACACTGAAATTGTAAAAACAATGTCTTTGCCTACCTAAAACCAAATGTGGATCCGAACCCACCAACCTACACCACCTAATTCAAGTAATCAGTTTCTAAATAATGCATTCAGTTGCTCAGAAAATGTAGAAGAAAAACAAAACCCTTAGCTGATCACAACCTAGAACCGAAAAGTAAAATATATAAGAAATATCTATCTATTTATTTGATACCAGAAGCATCCAAAACAAGATAAAGGGATGCGCAAAGACAGAAAACAAAACATTCCTGATTTACCCAATTGTGCAATGAACCTGGAGAAAAACAATCCAGCTGAAACCCTAGCGAACCCTTTAATTACTGGTTGTGGGTTTTGGTTTGTTAAAAAGAATGAAGATAAAGAGGGAAACTTGGACTTACAGAGGATGAAGCTTTAATGGAATAAATAATGGGAAGGAGCCACTTTGAGAGATTCTTGGATCAGAATTCAGAATCAGATGCAGGTTTGGCTCCCTGTTCTGGTTATCCAAATTGAAAATCTAGAAAAACAGAAAGAGAGAGAGAGAGAGAGAGTGAATAGAAAGGATGGGGCCTAGTTTTGTTGCTTTATTGAAAAGCAAAACGAAGAAAAGAGACGGCCGTCCCTGTTTGCTTTCTTTTTATTTTATATTTTCCCACTAAAATAATGGGAAATATATACGGCTTTTTTGAACCGGCTTCCCGTCTTTTTTCAAAATACAATAGTGTTCTCATCTGTTTTCACATCTATCACCTACCAATGCTCTTCTTTTTTTAATAAAAGATGACAACCGCTCAGATCATGGTTATCTATTTTTTTCGGACCCGAATATTCTATTGGGAATTGCATCCTATCCGTTGTCAATCAAGCAGACTAGCCAGCTTAGAGTATCGAATCCGGAACCTTCCACATTTTTTGTTTATTGGGAAGCCACAATTCACGGTCGTATCACTATGCCCTTGTTGTGGTTCCTACCAATGCACTTTGAGTTCTGCTAAAGCTAATCACATGTCATATTTTCTTGTCCACTTTTTAATAAAAAAAATTAAAAACATATTTAAATTTTTGTAAGATGACTTCTAAACTCTAATAAAACCATAAGAACTCCGGGTGAAGAATTGGAACCGAAAATCGAAATCAAAATATCGATCGAATCGAACCACACTGAACATGAAACGATTTCTATTTGAAACTAAACCACAAGCTTAAAAAACAATTTGGTTTCGGTTCCTAATATCTAAAACCTAACCAGACCACATAATTGAAAAAAGTATTTGTAGGCTTTTTAAAGTTTATAACAACTAATATAATTTATTTTGTTTATGTTATTGTAATGTGTAGAGTTGACCAATTCGAATTCAAGCATCACCCATCTCACTCTTAGTCCACAACCACAACAACAAGCTCCAACACAATCTCATGCTTCTCGTTCACAAGGTTCAATGGCTTTTCATCCATCTGTCACTTTCACAAGGTCCAAGGTCTTCTAGGCATCGCCTTCTCAAGCTCGTTCACAAGCTCAAGGGCATCCTAAACCTCCGGAGAGTAAGTTTCCGAAAGGAAAAGGAAAGGATTGAACGATGCAAAGTACTAACTTGAAAGTTGAAACACCAAAGTTTTTTTGTTGCATTGCATGAACAAATTATTTTTTTGGGTTGTACTACTAATGCCATAAGACATTTTGACATTGAACTTTAGCTTCACTATGTTGGGTGGTATGTGTTGGATAAATATCAACAATCAATGATAAATTTATATATGCAAATAAATAATTTAATAGAGTATGACAAAACGCAATAATATTAAACAGACAAATTGAAGATCGAGGCTTGCGTACCGCAATGTCCTTGAAACAGAAATTTCGTCCCTACTCAGTGCTTGTAGTTCTACGGATGTCTGCTTCACTAGGACTCAACGATCTAAGTTAGAATTCTAGTGTTGGAAAACTTGATTTTTGGCGAATTTCTTTGGGGTTCTCATAGTAAGAATGTTGGGGATTGTAGAAGAAGAATTTTATTTTTCTGTGCTCTAAATGCTTTTCAAATGGATGTATATATAATAAGTTTATGCCTGTTTGCAACATGTATAAGAATGAGATGCATTTGTTGGGAGACATCTTTTCAAAGGGGTGCTTTGCTCTCTGGCGTTCTTTTATCACTTCAGACTTCATCTAAAAGGATGAGTCTGTTGATATAAAAAATAATTAATTAATTAAAGTAATTAATTAAAGAATTTAATCATTAGATCCCGAGCCCCAAGGGCCAAGACCCATTTTTTGATAATTAATTATATATTAATTATCAATTAATTAGTACACCCCAAGGCCCAACCCTAAGGTTGAGCCTAATTTTATTCTCCATGGTCCATCACTCCAATCACTTTCTATAAGGGACAAAGCCTTAGAAAGTGAGAGAACATTTTGGTAGTGACCAATGTGGGACAATGAAATTTCTACTCAAAATTTCTAACAATATAAAAGTGAAGTTATAAGCTTAACCTCATTAGGATTTTCAAAGAGGTAAAGAGAAAACATAAAGCTTTCTCTTCTCTCTAGGAGGTTGGCCATGTAGGAAGGGATACTAGCATTTTCCTCTTCCTACATCACTCATCTTCTTCCTCAATCCTTCATTCGTGTCGAAACTTAGAGGCCTCCTCCATTGGTGACTTTTGGAGAACTCATTCCTCCATCTAAATCCAAAAAGACAAGGAGCTAAGAAGCAAAGTTCCTTCATCTATATCCATGGATCCAAGGAGCAAGGAGGCAAAGGAATGAAGTGAAGGAAGATTTGTGAAAAACAAGTTCATTTGAGCAACATCAACAACATGCAATTAACAATTAAAAGGCGGAATCATGTTTATATGCACTCAAAAACAAAACTTAACCCATGAACTTCAAAGCCTAGTAGATAGGTGAACCAAGACTCAACTCAAAACAAAGTGAGTTAAGAAATCAATACCTTTGTAGATTCCTCTTTGCATAAGCAAAGGCTAATCACCCAAAGAGAGGGCCTTCATTCCTTGCATCTTAGATCCATGGATTTGGATGGATGAAAAGGTTTCTCCAAGTTCCCAAAATTGAGAACCTCTAATGATTCATCACCAAGACATAATGAAGAAGAAATGAGTGACCTTGGAGGAGTTTGATTGCTAGATGATCCCTCCAAGGTGGCCGAAATTTTAGAGAGAAAGAAGAGCTTGTGTTCTCATCATTTCCCCAAAAATTACCCTATGTAAATTTTAGGCTATAAAGTCCTTTATATAGTCCCTTCAAATAAGTGACCTAATGGACCAAAAGCCCTATTCTTCTATCATGGCCGGCCTATAGGGTTTATTGGGCTTTCAAGCCCTTTGTTTATTCAAGTTGTCATACAACTTGAGTTAATGGGCTTGACATTCAAATCCCATTGGGCCTTGCGGCCCAAAACTAACCCGAGGTCTTTAACGAACTTATTCGTTTGATTAATTAACATATTAATTAATCCTAGCCTTAGATAAATAATTAAACCATTTAATTATTCTTACTCATCTCCGTTGTTTCTTCAAACTCTACCTTACTCGGTGAACGATCCATTAGGTTCCTTTTAGCGAGGCAGTGGGCGATTAAAAACTCTTTCTAATCGATTGTGAATTGAAACTTACTTTCAATTCTTCCGTTAGTGATAATACACTTTTAGGGCTTCCACAAACCATGGTTGACGCCTAGCAGCATGTCATGGTTACCCAAGCTAATCAGAAGAGGTGGAGAACCTATTCAGTTTTAGGATTACAAATGCAATACGGTCTTTCTCTAATACAATACTCTTGACCACATTGTTTGGTTTGATAGTTTATTCATGTCTACTATCCAATGTGAATCTTGTACTTATATGATTACCTTGAATGTGATCTGGAACGCATTCCAACATCTCATTCATACTCTGGCCAGAGATTCTAAATCATATCATAGAGTATTCTCCCTCAAACAGTTTGAAGGTTAGAGATCCCTTGTTGCGCATTCACTTGCCTCCATGACTAAGTGGCTTAACCCCGACGATGTCGTGGACACCCTGATAGAGTGACTTTGACATAATCAAAGATCAAGTACCTAACCACAAGACAGCTGTGATGCCTCAGGTCAAAGGACTACTTTGCATTATCCCAACCATGAGTTCTCATGTGACATGAATATGAGAACTCTTCGTTGATCGTGTTCAGTGAACTCATTCTCTATTGAGCACCTACGTACTTGTCTTGATGTCACACACACCAATGACTCGAGACTAGTCACTCTCCCTGAGAGAAGACATAGCACGTATTGATCTTAACGGACTGTCAATGCCCAATTGACAATCCTATGATCAGGAAGTTGGGGCCTTGAATCATTTAGAGTAATAAATTCCTGATTATCGTTAAGTAAAAAGAGGGCTCAACAATGTCTAAATGAAATCCTAATCCTATGATTGGTTTTAGGGTTATGAAGGCCTTTCATTTGTAATTATCCTTTGCTAAGTAAAGAGGTGCTTCAAATGTATAATGAAATCTCAACTCCCTTTATTGTTTTGAGTTGAATCTTGGTTCACCAACATGCTAGGCTTTGAATTCGATGTTTAGAGTTTTGTTTTAGAGTGTGTACTAGCATACTTTCGCCATTTAATAGTTAAATGCACGTAATATGTTGCCCAAAAAACTCAATTTATCAAAACATTTCCTTCAGTACATATGTCGATAGACTTGCATATGCACTAAGAGCATTGTTTGTTATGTACATACTTGTGGTGTAACAACCCGTCCTTAATTTTACAATTTTATTTATTTTAAAGGAGTGAATGGATGAAAATGCCCCTTAAAGGGAGATTGTTGACTTTCGTTGACCATCAATTCGCGACATGAATGAGCCACTATTTTACTGTATTCTGGAAGTACTCGACAGTATGAACATGTAGGCGCAAGCAGAATCGAATTCGGAGTTACAACGAAGATTTTACGAGTTTACGAATGTGAAGGGCGATTTGGTAATTTTATGTTTGGAGATTTTTTGTGGTTGCTTTGTGAGCCACGTGGGGTCCATATCCCACTCTTTTCCCTCTCTCCCGTGTCTCCCAATCTCCCATAAGTCTTTTTTTTTTTCAACTCTCTCCACTCATTTGTTGTCACCTCATCCCTCATTCCATCATTTCACTATCTCTCATCTCATAGCTTCCTCTCGTCTTTTTCTTTCTATGCAGGTGCAGAGAAGCCACCCAAGGTGCACACCACCTACCACTTTCTTCTGGCGAACTTCATGTGAACCATCACTGATTGCCATGACTATCTTATTCCCTCACTCTATTTCCCTTACTCGAGATCTAAACTCTCTAGGCATGCACGAACCCAGGAGAGGCCCGTTTCGAGTTAAATTTCTCTGGTGTGACTCTGTTATTCACGGCCTAGGTAAGATTCTGGGTCCGTCCTTTCTTTTCCTCTCAATGAGATGGCTTGATTTCTGAGTTACCATGTGAAAAATGAACTTGTTTTGGTGCAGAAATACCTTGGGGAAATACTTCCCGGTTTTCTGCCGAACCATCAAAGTTTTTCAGGCCATTTTTGGTTAACTCCGACT